TTTAAGGAGCAGTGATACCACAGGGGCCACCTGTGGCTGCATATGCCTCAGCCTGAACTGACACTGAAATGATGAGTGACTTCACTGAGCACGTAGTATGTTTCAGGAACCTGCTAGACGTCCTATTTCATTGCTGCTCTTGTCAATGCAAGGACACTCATGTATTCAAAGAATGAACATTTCATTTTTACTCTTTGGCCACCAAATTAGATTAGTCATTTATGTTGGAGAAAGCTAAGTGGCATAGACCCTAACAGATGCAGCAGAACATCACAAATTTAGATTGACCTATTCCTGCTGGTTCATAAGCCATTTATAGCCCGAATAACCTGAGAGAGGCCTGCGTGGCAGGAGCTGAGAGCCATAAAGGTCCTCAGGGTACGACTCAGATCCCTGAAAGTTGATCTGTGGGGCCCAAGACAACAGGACCCCTTCTTTCAGCCTTGATGTCCCCTTCAGGCTGTGACTCGATGTCCCAGGGCCTGTGGTGCATAAAACACATGTGGAATCCAAGCACTAACCCTGGGTGCTCTAAATTATAAGGGAAAGGGAGGAGATCGGGAAGGGTAGATGCTGTTCATGGCAAAGCCTCATTCTGAGTTCTGAATCCTCGATTACATTTAAAATGTGTAGTCTTCAGTCGTGTCTTGGGATGTTTGGTATGTTTAATTCTATCTATCACAGATGGCCTCTGGCTTACTTATTAGTGAATTTTAAAATGAAGTTGGTATCTAAAAAAAATAGAAGAAAAAAATGACGTTGGTCTTTGTAAAACAAGTATTTGATGAATATTTTTAATCTTTCCCAGAGTGACTCTAGCCCACAGGGGTGTTAACCTACAGAGCCTCCTGGAGAGGAGGCAATGCAAACAGCCATGCAAACAGCCATAAATCATTGGCTCTGAAGAAAGAAGATTCTCTCTTCTTCTGCCTCTTGAAATGATGGAAAATAATTAGAGAATTGGGGTGAAACAGGGATTATATTCTTTTTGTGTTGGCTTATGTACTTTTTATTATGTTTCGGTTGGTTTTTATTGCCTGATATTTGAGGAGCAAAGGGAAACAGAAATTACTGTCAGCTTGTACTTTTTACGCTAAAGCCTACGAGAAAGAAATTTAGGATCCACAGACAATTATCTGAGGCCTGCTCTGTGTCAGGGACTAGGGCTTTTATATGAGCTATCAAATTTAATCCCCAACACAGTGCTCTGAGGAAGTACCCCTGTCCAGACCTCACTGGCAGGACCTGGCCTGAGGGAGGGTAGATGTAGACGAAACCCCACAGCTTGTGTCTGGGGCTGGCATGGTGGCTGGTCTGCAGGACGGTCTCTCTTACCAAGCAGCCACATTTCCACCCAGAGGAAAGATAATAACGTGTGTTAGCCAACAGTGATGTAGATGATCTCTCAGAAGGCAGAGTGGAGTCCTTTTTTGAAAATCCTGTCTTCTCAACATTATAAGATGATTATAACTGACACATATTGAGTGCGTATCGGGACTAGTCTAGGCACTTTTATTAACCCATTTAAACCTCACAACATCTCTGTGAGGTAGGTTCCATCATTATACCTATTGTACAGATGAGAAAACTGAGTCATGAAGAGGCCAAAGAACTTGCTGGTGTTTCACAGTCTATGGAGCTAATTCTAGTCTAAGCAATTGCATTTACTGAGAGCCTACCAAGTACCTAGGTCTTTGGGGAATGTACAAGAAACATAATGCCAGTGTTGCCCCTTAAGAGTTTTCCAAATTAAAACCTTTCAAACAGACTTGAGGTGCCAACTTGACTGTTATGTGAGGATCATATTTTCAGAAAACTACAAAATCGAGAGGTGAGATTTTATAAGGGATTTTATTTTCTGATTAATGAGCTGATGTTAGTAAAGTTTAGACTCTATTTGTTTATGTATTATATTTAATGAATTTCTTTGTTGAAAAGAGTAAAGTGACATGAAATTAGAAATGACTGTGATAAATGATGTCCATGTTATAAAAAGCATGAGTCCCAAGTCTTTCTCATCTCTTTCACCCCCTAGTCTCCTGGCAGTTCTTTCTGTTCTTTCACCTCTTTTGTTTCCTCAAGAAGAAGAAAGGGTAGGTGAAACCTTTTAAGTGAGAAAAGTACCAACTTATAAATACTGTGCAGACTGGATTTCATGTCCCACATGGCTCCTGGTCATGCCTCGGCGTGAGATGATCGGGGAACCCTCAGAAGGCCTTGGCTGTGTCCTCCAGCTTCATTGCTCAGCCTTTCTGACCTGAGGCCTGTGTGTCCACCTTAGGGTATCCCAGTTTCTCCAAGTGGCCATTGGGTGTGGGGTTAACACTGTTGATGCTAGGCAGCTGCCTAATTCTGCCTGTGCCGAAAGCAAGGTGATTGAACTTTAAACCCGAAACCCTCTGCGGTAATGTCTCCTTCAGAACCTTCACGATCACTCTTGTTATTTTCTAATGCGAAAGCAGCCTTTTTTTGTATTTCTAAGTAACACTATATCTGGACATGAATACAATTTTAAATTTCTCATTACTATCTGCTGTTTCTATGATGCTTTTTATAAGTTGGAATCCAATTCTGATTAATAAAATGGTGTGGTGCAAGAGCAAAACAAGAAGTTAAAGGAACAAAATAGCCAGTCCAGAAACAGAAGATTTTGATGTATTTCAAAATTGATATGTGTGCTATTTGCTCAATTTAGATTACACTACAAAATTAGAGTACTGAATCTGCTTCAGTAAATTTCTTTGTGAATGCTAATGCCTGCGTATATAACTGAGTCTGGGCACAAATATATGTCAAACTTATTTTCAAAAGGAAATACTCTCAGTGTGACATGGCAGGAAGTCAGTACTGTTCCCAATAGTCCTTTCCAGGCTCCTTTAAAAACTGAGCTCTCTGGCAAGTTTGTAATTAAGATGTAACACTTTTACTTCTTACACCGGGACTTCAATTTGTGATGTAATTAAGGGCAGTTACTCCTGTTGGAGATTGTAGCCCAGGTGAGGCTGAGTTAATAAATAGCTGTTTGCCTCTGGCATTAGCAAGGATATCTTCATTAAGGTGATAATATGTCAAGAGTGCTAAATAGGTTGCCATGGTATTTGTAAGTTTCAGCCTGGACTCTGGCTTTCCCTGAAATTAAAAATGTTTAGCCTTCAGTAAAAGGCACTTCCTTATACAAGAAAATAGAGAGAACGTTAAATAGGTCAAATGACCAGCGCCAGGAACTCAATTGCAAAGGCTGATAAACAAATGGATTTTTTTTTTTTTTTTTTTTGAGACAGAGTCTCACTCTGTTGCCCTGGCTAAAGTGAGTGCCGTGACGTTAGCCTAGCTCACAGCAACCTCAAACTCCTGGCTCAAGCGATCCTCCTGCCTCAGCCTCCCAAATAGCTGGGACTACAGGCATGCGCCACCTTGCCCGGCTAATTTTTTCTATATATTTTTAGTTGTCCAGATAATTTCTTTCTATTTTTTTTTTTTAGTAGAGACGGGGTCTCGCTCTTGCTCAGGCTGGTCTCAAACTCCTGAGCTCAAACAATCCGCCCTCCTCGGCCTCCCAGAGTGCTAGGATTACAGTTGTGAGCCACCACGCCTGGCCAACAAATGATATTTTAAAGTGAGCATTGACTGACAGGTTTTTTTTAAAAAAAAAAAGTTGTTTTATATCTATGTCTATCCATCCATTCATCCATCCAGAGGGACCGTTCTCCAGCACATGGAAAAGCTCCTTCAGAAAACCCACACGCAGGACCAGCTAACCCACAGGGATTAGGTCTCATTCATCTTCAAATCCACAGAGCCTAGTATGCAGCAGATGTTCAAGAAATGTTTACTAAATGAATGCATAAATTCTGCTTACCCCCAGGCCAAATTGGCTCAAGAGTCAGACATTTTGATTTGTGCTTCTGTCACTGACCAACTTCCAATAGTATCTGTAGACAGCAGATTGTCCTCAGACGCGGTGACAAAGAACTGGAAATGGAGAATCAGTTGGCCCATCTGTGTAGGAACAAGGCACTGTACTTGGGTTAACTCGTGTAGTGATTCTCAGAGTGTCCCTGGACCGGCAAGGTTCAGACCCTGAATCTACTAAAGATCCTGGATGATTTAGTGGGAAGTTATATTATTTCCAGAATTTTATAGTTAACTTTTTTTTTTAAAAGATGACAGTATATTGTAGTTCTAAGTAATCCAGTTTCATTGTGAAAATGTTAAGTTTTCAAGACCCTAGGAGAAAGTACCTAATTTACTGTTTATCTTTGTGCCTTCTATGCTTATGTTTCATGGAAATATTAATCAGCAGAGAAGTGCATAACAGTCTGGGATCAGATGGGAGAAGGAGCCAAAAGCTGCCAGTCTAAACTGTCCAGCCTACCTGTGCTATTGTCTGTTATTTTGATAAACCTGATGGATGAGTCTGTAAACAGTATTATTTTTCTTTTACATATTTTCTCAAAGCTCCATAATCCTAAATGTTGTCTTACCAGTCTATGAAAGGGGCTTTGAAAGCTCTTGGGAAGATAGATAAAGGTAAAAATTAAAAGGATATTTTCTGGCTAAACTCTAGTTACCTGCAAAATTTGGGTAAAGAGAACATCTTATTTCTCAGATGTCCTGGTAACATTAACTTCATTGCCTGGTACATAGTACAAGGTAAGTTAACACTATCAGGTTATATAGGTATTAATTACCATTACGAAAAATGTGGAAATTCTGTTTTTTATTAGTAAATAAAAACATGAACAACTGATGTTTCTAGAATCTAGGCCATAATTAAAGGAATGTCATTCCAATCTTTGTATGTGCTTAAATGTGTTTCTTTTATGTGAACATATATTAGACATTAAACTTAACCATAACATAGCAACTGGTTGATTATTAATTCAGACCGTATGAAAAGCATTTTCCAAGTTGGCCTAATCTGCTCTACTAGTTTGTATCACAATTTCTTGTGATTAATAGAAGTTCAGATGGCTAATGGATTCTGCCCCTTCCCCTAGGTTTATTTCAATCTACAGAGGACCCAGCCATACCTACAAGGTCCAGAGACTGACGGAATTCACGTGCTACTCCTTCAGAATCCAGGCGGCAAGTGAGGCTGGGGAAGGGCCCTTCTCTGAAACCTACACTTTCAGCACCACCAAAAGTGTGCCCCCTGCCGTCAAAGGTTTGTAAACGTCCATCCTGCCATGCTCTTCTGGGAGAGTAAGGAAGTGTTGGAATTTAGAGTAGGCTCACTTCTGACCTTAAATATGCTCTTTTAATGTTTCTAATATCAGCAAGATAGAATCAAAAGGACATTCTAGAAAAGAAAGTTGGGCCGTGGGTTGTCTGGGGAAAATGAGAGGCCTTGAAAGGGCCTACGATGATGACTTTTCTCAAGTTTGCATAAATGTTTATTACAAATCACAGTTAGAAATGAGGGTCAAATTCCTGGTGTTACCGCCCTTCAGACAGTTTACCAAGGAAGGTTTGAGACTCTCCCAAAGTCATTCTGAGAAGCAGAGGTTGGCGTTCACCTTTGGATGACTTTGGTGCTGACTTAGGCAACTTCAGCAGCCTTTCCCCCTTGTTCACTCTCCTTGAGAGATATGAGCAAATGTTTGGATATCAGGGGTCTCATGACTTCTGCAATACCTGAGACCCCTAACATCCAAATCTCTCATATCTCTTAGGGAGAGTGAACAAAGGCCACTTTGCCCAGACCCTCACTCCACCAGGTCTGCTGAGCCCTCGGCCCCTATTTCTAGCTGCAGAGTTACGCCTGACTGCAGCAGACCTACAAGGCATGACAAACAGCAACAAGAGCTGAAGAATGTCAGCCGCCCCACCCAGCCCCCTCAGGACTCCATGCCCCATCTTGGCCAGATCTCGTGGTTCCTGTGGGGGTCCCTGCTGCTTGTTTTTAGTGGGCAGGAAACACAAGTGGCTTTTCCTAGCAGTTGCTCAAAATGACCCCTGAGGCTGACAGATGAGGGGTGAGTACAATCTGTAGAAAAGGTCCTATATGCGGCCCAGGAGCAAGGCTGTTTGACTCACTGGTTGCACATGCAGGAGATGTGTCAGCCAGGGCACAGAGTCAGTTACAGGAACCCCCAGGACCTGGGTCAGGGTTTGGCTTGGATTCTGTGAAGGTTTCCCATAGCTCCTTCCAGGGCTAGTGTATAGTCAGTACCTTCCCCCTGCTTCCCTGCCTTGCAGGCTCTTTGGCAGTATGTGACTTGGAAACTAGTATAAATGTGTGTGCATTTATACACACCTCACTGGGTCACGTCGGCAGTAAACGTCCTGGCCCTTCGGTGCAGTGTCGCCTTTCAGCTGTAACAGAAAAGATTCCTGAGCATGCTGTGGCTGATTGGCATGTTGGTGCCAAGGAAGGGTTGGCCCCCCAGTTAGCAAACTTCAGGGGTCTTTCTGGTATTGAGGAGCACTAAGTTTGCTCTCAAAGGAATTCTTGGTGGGAATTCATTTTATGGAAAGTAGAGCACACATTGGTAGCACTGGCATTTCATGGTACTTCTGCTTTAAAAGGGCAGTTTCTTTTTCCTTTTTTTTAAGTGTATTTTTTTGTTTCAAAATATTAAGGGAGTACACATGTTTTTGTTACATGGATTCCCCTCGTAATCCTTAAGTCAGGGCTTTTAGTGTGCCCATCGCCCAAACAGTGTTCATTGTACCCAATAGGTAAGTTTTTGCTCCTCAGCCCCTCCCCCTTTCTTGATTTCCAATGACCTTCACATCTCTTTGTGCCCATGTGTGCCCATGAATTAGCTCCCAATTATTAGAGAGTGCGTGCGGTATTTGTTTTTTCATTCCTAAGATACTTCACTTAGGATAATGGTCCCCAGTTCCATCCACGTTGTTGCAAAAGACATTATTTCATTCCTTTTTATAGCTGAGTAGTACTCCATGGTGTACATACATATACACTGCATTTTCGTAATCAGAAGTGCAGTTTCCTCACTCTAACATATGATCAGGTTGTTTTCCTCTTAGATTCAGGGAATTGTTGTCCTAGCTGGGACTGTTCAGTCTGACTGGATTCCTTATGTAGTTTTCTCTTAAGTTGCATGGGGTTTTGACCAAGTACTTCCAACATAGGCTCCCTTTTTTTTTTTTTGTAAGAAAACCCTTATTTTCCTGAAATAATATCATAGAGAATTGCAAGTAGAAACAACTGCCTCTAAAGAATTAATTGCCTGTAATTAGAGATTAAAGTATAATGGGGTTCAGAGAGACGAGTTATACATTGTAGTTTCAAAGTAGAAAAATAATCAGATATTAAATCAAGCTACAGAGATATAAGCTATAAGAAAATCTTTTAAAAATATGTAATATTTTAAGTGTTTTACTACAGACTAATAATTTTGCTTTAAATGAGAATGATGACTCCAGAAGATGAAAAATAGTCTAAAAATATAAACACAATGTAATTTTTAAAGGCTTTCAATGCTTCCCATCCTCTGGGACTTTTCTCAAATGTCACCTGCTCCTCAAACCTTCCCTAGACCCTTACCCAGATGTGCCCTTTCCCTCCCTTAGAACTCCCCAACATTTTGTTTGTACCTTCTGTTTTAATCTGCCTTATGTTTATTTTTGTACCTGTCTCATACCTTGCTCTCCCCATCCTTCAACTAGATCTTAAGTTCCTTGAAAACAAGGTTTGTCTTATCTATTTTGGCATCTCCTGGAATACCTAGAACAGAGCCTAAACCATAGAAGATGCCCTCAATAGGCATAGAAAGAATAAAAATACAATCCAGACCAAGCTTTTATTAATAATTATTAATAAATTTTATTAATAATTTTATTAATAATTATTATAATTATAATTTATTAATGACGAGTAAAGGCTTGTTCATCAATGGCTTTCTAGTCATGGAGTAACTTCTCTGTGCCTAAAGGACACCCTTCTGGTTTTATGAGAGGCTAGGAAAATAAACTCCTCTCTCAGGGCAGGCAAAGGCACAATCTCGCTCTCTCTGGGTTCTCCCTATTGTGGCTAAAATATTGACTGTTAATATGATACTTTGAATTTTGAGCTTCGATGTGTGAATTTGTATTTCAGCACCTCGAGTAACACAGTTAGAAGGAAATTCATGTGAAATTTTTTGGGAGACGGTACCACCAATGAAAGGCGACCCTGTTAACTACATTCTGCAGGTATTGGTTGGAAGAGAATCCGAGTACAAACAGGTAAGAGCCAATGTGCACAGCACGCGTGCCGCTGAGCCAGGCTGCTCCTTGCCCCTGCCCATTGCTGTGAATGATTCAGTGAGCTACATTTTTCTTAAAATCAGTAGCAGAAACTGCCTAACATGTACCTGTTACCTAAATTTTCAGGGTATATAAGCCCTAGATTTACATTTCATTTTGTGTATGGTGGTATTCATCTTAAATTTTCAGTTCTCTAGCATAAGCTTGTCTTGTAAAGAGTTTTAAATAGTTCATTTGTATTTGACATTGGCAGTGATGTTTACAAGTATCATTGGTATTAAAAACTAAAGTGCAGTGATTTTACTGTAGAAGGGGAAGTAGTCTTGACCTAACTACTGAAGCCTATGTCCTATCTACTTTTTTTATAGAAGTAATGGAAGGCTGAGGGAGATGATGCATAGGCCCTTGAGGCCTGTGATTCAGAAGCTCTAAGTCATGGTTTTCACCCTTTAATGTCATAGGAATCACCTGGGAATCTATGAAAATATAGATTCTGATTCGGTAGGTCTTGGATGGGGATTCAGGATCCCTGGTGATACTGATCTTGCTGGTCCATGGACATAATGTGAGTAGAAAGGCTATATAAATCACATGATAAACCCATGCAAGAGAGAATGTAATTGGAATATAGCCAGATAAAGAATTTAGTTTTATCATTTTTCACATCCCTTATTGATTCTTAATTCTTCCAAAGAAGAATCAGGTCACTGGCTCTGAGGGATTCAAATACTCTGTAGGTTTCCATAATGGTCCCTGGAACTTAGCAACTATTTTTGTGAAATCAGGATATAATGAACTTTATTCCATTAGGAAAGCAGAGGCCCATTCTTTACCAGCACTTTTAATAGGCACATTCATTTATATTAAATTTGCAAAGTTGAAGATTAGCATAATTTGTGAAGATTTCTTTATTTAGCTTTCAAGGCTCCAAATGCACAAGACAAATAGAAAATAATGTGATTCAGAGTTTTTGTTTAATTACTGGTTGGTGTTTCGTATGAATAATACTTGCAAATAAAATGTGTAATAAAATCAAAGAAAATTTTGGACACTTTGCTGTACTTTGTTAATATGAAGCATCAGATAAAAGATCAAAATTTTTAAAACACATTTTGCAAACACTTTATCTTAAATATGTCATCTACCAGTATTGATTAACATCAGTGGATGATGTCACCAAAGTATCCATCATCCTCTTAAATAAGAACAAAGACACTTTGACTTTTCAGTCTCATTTTGTACAGTACTTCCCATTTCAGAGTAAATAATTTCACCTGTGTAATTGTTTCATCTTACCAGAAAGATACGATTGGTTTCAGGGTTTTAGCTCAAATAGAAAGAAGAGAATTTTCCCCAGTAGATTTAGTTATCTTTAACACCAGTGGCATTGTCCCATTCCATAGCAATATAAAATGGTTATAATATGAGGTATTAAGAAATTTCTCAGCATATCATTTGACATTTAACAATAATTCATTTCCCAACAGTACATTCATTGCATGTTCGTCATTGTATTTTAAAAAGCTTTTATTCCATGTACCATGCTTTTCCAACTCTTAGAAAAATCTTCTGCTTCTCAAAACATAGCAACTGCTATTTCACATTGAGAAAGCAGCACTATTTGCTCAATGTCTATACATGTCAGGCATTACCAAAATATAGGTGAATCTATTCAGTAATTTAGATTTTATTGGCAGATGGGCTGTTTTGAATCTATTGTTTGTTTAATATTATATATTTAGACCCATGGACATATAAATACTAATATGTATGATCTTACATGCTGCAGAATATTTTTCTTATTGTAAACAGCTGTAAATAAGTATTTCTTGTTGAAAACAGGTGAAAACACAGTAGTACTACAGGGCATGCTCAGTAGATGGGGTTAGCATTCTTTACATGTCCATGTATTTCCTCATTTACCAAGAAATGATTAAAACGAGTTGTGGTACATGAAAAGCCACAGTTGAGTCAGGGACAATTTGTACTGGATTATTTTTTTTTTTTTTTTTTTTGGCTTCTGCCTATTCAGTAAGCATTAACTTAAACATGATGTTTTGAGTACTTCATTCACTTGTTCTGGACATGAGCTAGGGAATGAAATCTATTTATGTGTGCAGAGCAATGGTTAAAACAATTATAGGCCAGGGATAACTGGCATTGGGCCCTGAATTCATAGAGACAAGGCAAAAGAAAACAAGAGGTAGTCATAGCTATACATCCACCACAGCAGACCTATGGCTGTTACGGTGCACTGTGTATACCTCAGTTATAGCACCAATCAGACAGGATCCACTAACGTGTGGGCTTCTGTTATTCATTTTTGTGTTTCCAGGACTGGCACATAGTTAGGCACTCAGTAAATGTTTCTTACATGCATGAAAGAGGCAGTTGCAGAGTAACAGGGTTTTTTATATCTGCAGTGATGATAAGAGTAAACTTCAGCATGGAATGGATTTAGAAATGATATTTATAACTTAGGTGAAAAAATCTCCCATAATACAAGAATGTCCTTCTCTACCTCAGGCTTATTTTTCCAGGCAACATATGACAAGCACCATGGCCTTTTCTGATGTTTTGCTTGAAGCATTGACTTTAACTTTGCCTTGGTTCTAGCTGATTTAGCTTTCCTTTGTTCTGTTTTTATGATGTGGGATAAGCAGCTGATTTTAATTATTAAACAATCTATTAATGTAAAGTACTTAGTCCTTACCTAAAATTTTGCTATGCATTAGAATGCATACATATATCAGTTTGGCTTTTCTGCCATTTAGCAAACATTCCAAGCACAAATGTTTCTCAGGAAGCTTAAAACTTCTTTTCAAATAGGATTAATTTTAAAGCATTCCTCAAATGAATGAAAATTATGTCTGTATACATGTGACTGAGTTTTTATTTTGCGTAAGATACAGCATAGCCAGTTTAACACATACATAATAAGTAAGGTAAGATGAGTCATTAATATATCTCTAGGTAGGTAGCAATAACTCTTACAAAAAATGCAAACTATAAGCATTAAAGATGAGAAGAGTCAGCAAACTGTAAATTATACCTGTTGACAGTCAAAATGTGTGACAAATTACTAAAATTCTTGGTGCTCAGATTTGTTACATTGAGAAGAAAACCTTTGAAGCATCTGAAAATCTATAGAGCTCCACATTTAATTTGACGGTGTCCCTGTATAAATATATTTTTATCTTGTATCATTTTTAGAATATGGTATTGAGATATACATTGACTCTTATGGTATCACAAAAAGTATCATGAGGAAAGATCCATTGACCCAACTGTTGTAAAGTCTTGGAGCCTAGAGCCTCCATATTTTTTAATGACTTTAAACTCATTTTCCTAATACAGAAATTAAACAATGTTGCTATGATTATCTGATAGCACAGTTTTTTAAATTTTTGTATGAAGAAAGGGTTGAACTCAAAAATAGATCAAGGTGGAGATCTTTAAAAGACATCATTTATTTTACTGATTCTTAATTGTTTTTTAGGTTCACAGATCCCTTTAAGTATCTGAAGGCCATGACCCCTTATATCAGAAAAATTCCTATACATGTATCCACTTAAAAGTCATATAAAGTGAATTCAGTTTCACGGAGTGTAGGTATAGGACCCCTCGTTTATTGAGACACTGTTGGGTGTTTTATATCGTGCGGGATGGCTGGCACAGTCAGTACTCTGGGAGTTCGTAGGCCCATTGGTGGAAAAAGCATACTCCCAAGAAGTGGCTCAGTAGCAGTACCCTTTCCTGTTGTCTTTGGCTAAAGGACAAAGTTGCCTGCCCAGCATTATGACCTCAACAGAGGAGGCCTGCAGGTTAGCAGATGCCCTCTTGAGCCTGGGGAGAACATGGGTGGGGAGGGAACGTGAGGACAAGTCTGCCTCCTGTAGTCATGTGATGTTTATTGGAGGAATTAATTCCCCTCGCTGAGCCTCAGCCCCCTCATTGTAAAAGTGGAGATAATAGTCTTCTAACTCAGACTGTTACTGTGAGCATCGTCTGTTCAGGCATGAGGAAGAGCTGTGTAGATGATAACGTGGTGCAATGATGTCTCCTGTGCCGTTCTTGGGAGGGGGTGACAGTAGTAAAGAGGTTCAGGGGAGCCTCCAGCGGCCCAGCCTGTGCTGTTCTCAGCCACCATCCCCAAAAAGCTCTCTGGTATTTACAGGATTATAACTATGCAGCATGATATTTTGAATTAAGGGTTATGGATTCCTCATTTCAAGTATCTGGGTATTACTTTAAATCCTCCCATTTGGAATCAACATGTCAAAATAACTTTAAAATATATTGCCTGTCAAATCAAGAACAAAAATAGTCTTTGTAAAAACAATATTGCTTCTATACTTATTACAATATTATGATTGGTTACTTCAATAAAGAAAATCTTAAATGGAGCTCTGCCTTTTAAATTGGGTTGAGGCAAGAGGAAAAGCCCATAATGGTGCCCTGTCAAAATGAATGAAGACAAAGGGCTACAGGGCATGGCCCGCTGCCCTGATGTGCGGAGCTGCACAGTTCCATGGAAAGCCACCCCAGTGGAAGCACAGCTGCACAGCAGGCTGACGACTCGTGCTTTTGTGACAGCGTTAGTTCCTAAGTACTGCTGGACTTTTAGTGCCCATAGACATGCCATGGACACCAGGCCAGCATCGTCAGGGCTCCTTCAGTTGATTCCCGCGAGTCCTATATTTGTGGACCCCAAGGGTCACCAAGAATTTGCCCTGGAGTGTTACATATGACCCCGCAAGGGGGCCAGGGAAAGTACAGTCCAATAGCATATAGCACTCCACATAATGTAGTCTTACATTGCTGTTTCTCAGATGCTTACTACATGCCAAGCACTGTCCTCGGAGGTTGCTGCCTATTATCCCATTTAATCTTACCAGTAATCGCATGAGACTCACTATTATATCTTCACTTTGGGAGGGTTGGTTTCTCATCTGTGGAAGCATGGTACCTTCAAGGAA